CTCTCTCTCTCTCTCTCTCTCTCTCTCTCTCTCTCTCTCTCTCTCTCTCTCATCTGACATGCGCACAATGACTGGGAACAGCAGAAAACGCTTCAGGATTACAGGAGTTAAGTTCGAAAACAGGGGGTCTCATAATCTTACTCAATGAACTTTTGAGAACTGTTTTTACAACCCAAGGTGTTCCAGCAACCTTTTATACAGCGGGCACGTTTTATATCACAGAGTCAGTCAAGAACAAAGGCTGATTTGAACCTTGTTGTCCTATCAAATGTTCGTCCATTTCACGGTACCTCTTTCCCCCTCTATTTTAACCCTCCGCTTTCAGTTGTATCGAAATTTCTAATATTGAAAAATATTGTAATGCGAAGCAGAGACCTTTCGATTTCAGCTAAATTACGACGTCTGAACAGCCCATTTGTTCGCATGTACAAATCTTGAAATCCAGATTTTAATTATTTCGAAAAGACCGTTGACCACGCTTCTGATTTTTACAAATCACTTGACGGTGCTGCTTTTTTTAACGACTCGGAGCCCAGACCATAAAAATCTGAGCCGCTATTTCCTACTCTGGGATTGAATCAGAATAGCATACAGGCGGTTTTTTTTTTAATTGACTGACTTTAAATAGCCCAAGATGCAATCAAGACCCTTCCGTGGTATGACTGATTTCACCTAAACTTGATAAGGTATGAGGCCATTTTCAATCTAGAAGTTTGTAGCAGAGGTCATGTAACTCTAAAACTAAAGCCACAGCGTTGGAAAAAGCACGCTGCCATTTTTAAAGTTCCTTATGTTTTAATCTATCTCAGAAAAGTACACAAACTCAGATAGGTTTTTCTTTTAATAAATGTTTGTGCTCAGTTGGTAGCATGTAGACTATAATACGGATTACCCTGGTTCAATTCATTAATAATCACATATCCCCACCCCATCTCCCCCACCCCTCACACGTACGTGCTTACTTGGTCCTGAGCGATCGGAAATTGACGTCACATTCAGAGGTCCCACCTCTAAAATAACAATAACCTTTCAGTGGGGGGTGATTAGCCTAAGCATTAAAATTAAATCTATTTCAAAGATCAGCAACTCACCTGTGGCTATGCTGTAGTGACTCGGGAAGGTCAAGGTCACAAAAGTATTGTTCACATAAGGCATGGTGACCCCTGCACTCAACATGTCTTCAAAGTTTGGCGTATTGCCTTTGGTCAGGTAGTCATGACGAAAACCGTCCATAGAGACCAGGATGACCTTTGGCTTTTTCGACGTCGCAGGTAGGCCATGACTCAGGGTCAGGAGCAGAGAAAGGACAACACCCCCAAGGCAGGCCTGGGCTGACATGGCAAACATTGTCACGTGGTCTCCTCTGAAAGCAGATGAAACAATCAAGGGAGAAAAAATGACACCTTTGATAACACTTTTTACTTATCGAAGGTTCAGTACAAGAAACCCGTACGCCACATTTTTTTAAATCGATTTTTGTTGTTTGTTTGTTTTTCCGTGGCCACATAATATCTCTCTTCGTCATAATCTTTTCGATGGGAGGACTGGACAGTAAATTATAACTTATTTACAGGCATGTCCCCACATCGAAAAGATATGTGATGGAGAAAGATCTGCAGCCACGAAAAGCAAAACAACATCGACTTTAGAAACATGTGGTAAGCAAGTTTCTTGTACTGAACTGTCTTTACGTACTGTGCATTGGAATGTGTTATTCCATATCTTCAATAGGGGAAGAAGAAGGACAGTAATTAGGAAAACCACATTAGGGCTTGGGTGGGTTGACATTTTTTCCCAAGAAAGGAGTACGTTAGAAGTGAAGACCTTTTATTGTCTATCAACCTTATCCACCCTTTTTTCTATTTCTGGACCAGGGGAAGATGGGTGGTAAGTTGAAGGTCACATTTGGGTTTGGGTGGGTTGGGTTGACTTTTTCCCCTAAAAGTTTGAAGTAGGGAGCTTTTGTTTTCTTTCAACCTCACCGACCTTTTTTTTTCATTTCTGGACCAGCATACCCCAGTATTTTGAATTACATTTCTTAGTATGCAGTCCTGGTAAAATAGCCACATTTTTGTGTTCGTACAGCACAAATGCTTGAGACAAGGCCTGTCCGTACTACAAGGAGTCTAGTAAAAAGTAAGTGTAGGGTTTAACACCCCTATCAACACTACGGCCATTTAAGAGGAGGGACCTCGGAACCTTAAGTCCGAATCTGAGAGGACCGAGGCAAATGGGTTGAGAGCCTTGAAGACTTAAGAAAATTACTCAAGTTCAAGAACGGGACTCGAATCAGGGCCTTCCGCTACGTAGTCCAGCATGATACCAACGGAGCTAACGGAACGCCCACACCTCCCACCCAAAGGAAGTCTAAATAGGCTTTTTTTTCGGAAGTACCTCAGAAGAAAATAAAGTATGTCCAAATAGCTATCTTTTTAAAAGAAAATTCATTTTGATTTCATTTGCATGCGTGGTAAGGACGCTGCTGCTCTACACGTAATGTAGACAAAAATAGATCACACAAGGCAAATGCATCACTAAAAAGACTTCACTGACAATGCTGTAAGCAGATACTCTGAGACAAACGCTAAAAAATATAACACTCATAAAACCAACTAAGTGCTTGAATGCCAGGAAGACACACATGTGAATGATAAAACGGAATATTGGTACTTCCAAGTTCAATTGTATCTTTATCTATGCAAAAGTAATTTACTGGATTTACTTATGCTCTGCAAGCAATAACTTTGAATAGGCGCACCTGTCCTAGGTTAAAGAGTTAATAACTGTCAAGTCTTTCAAATGAGCCATTCGGCAGGAAATGTCGGTGTTTTGGCGAGTCATATATTTTTTTAAAAAACAGGATATCTCGCTTATAATCAATAATTATGTTTTTTTTAAAACCTCTAACAGGTTGAAGCCACTTAAACTGTTTTTAGTTTGTGAAAAGAAACACTATGTACCTTTGTAAATAACAAAATAATGTCCGTACTAAGATAACGTTATACAAGGGGTCATGATACTCTAGAGCGTACAATTTTCCCTGCACGCAGATTTAAAGTAGGCTACACCAGACAACCTGAAAAACGTACAAGGCCCCCCAAAGTCATGTATAATGTCATTAAGTAATTGCCAAGCCTGTGCATAACGGAATTTGAAAACTGTATGTCAGTCTTCCCTTTCGAAGAGGAGGCACGTGGCCTCAAAGCACGCATGCCATTCTACCCAGATGTCGCAAACTCTCTATGTGGGTGGTTGGCGGGTGCTCTGGTGTGGTCTGCTCCTTCTTTCCTATCAAACATCTGTCGTCCTTATCTCTCCTCCCTCTTTTTTTGTGTTTGTGGCTCTCTTGTAACAGCTCTAATACTATATGACCTTATTGTGTTGCAAGTGCCGTAAAACACTCACAAAAACAAACTCTCTGGAAAAAATATAACGTATCTTACCAGCTTCAAAGAATACGAGAACAAGATGGAACACAGTCCTTACAGGTAGAAAATCTACTTTGTATCACTTTAGATGCGTTCACCACGAGAACACTACATCATAACCACACGTAAACACACGTAATACAACTGCCACGTACGTCACTTCTGACATGTGTGTTTCTCGATGCAAAGTGAAGTGCCATGCCCTAAGTTGTGTTGACAGTACGCGGATGTTTGGGCCTCTAATTCTATCTTGTTTGTTATGGTTTACAGAAAAAGTAGGTTAATATCCGGTTGTCGTTGTTTTTTAAAATTTTACAGACGGCTTTGGTTAATACTATATTGTATCCGTGTGTCTGTCTGTCAGTCTGTCTCTGTCTGTCTGTCTGTCTGTCTCTCTCTCTCTCTGTCTCTCTCTCTCTCTCTCTCTCTCTCTCTCTCTCTCTC